ACATGGTTTAGTGGTGGGATGGCAGGGTTAGGTTAAAGGTTGGACTCGACGATCTTAAGGGTCTTTTCCAACCAAAGTGATTCTATGCTTCTATGATTCTATAAGGTGTTAAACAGGGCTGGACACAGTATTGATCCCTGGGGTACACCGCTAGTTCCTGACCTTCAACTGGACTTTGTACCATTGATCACCACCTTCTGGGCCCAGCTGTTCAGCCACTTTTCAGTCCACCTCACCAACTGATCATCCAGCCTATGCTTCATCACCTTCTCTGTGAGGGTCTTGTGGGAGACAGTTTCAAAAGCCTTACTGAAGTCCAGGCAGAAAATAGCCACTGCTCTTCCCTTGTCTACCAAAACAGTCTCATTGTAGAACGTTGTCAAGTATGACAACCTTCTCATTTAAAAAAAAAAAGACTGAGAGGATGATATTATCACAACCAAAGGCTCTTGCAGTAATGGCACCCCCACCAAATGGCCCTGTTTTTCCAGAAGTGGTCAAGTCAAAAGCATTAAATGAAGCAGAACAAATTCTGAGCTTGAGGTAGTCTGGTGTAGAACTGAGACTTGCTACTGTCCGTGGTTTCTGCTCAGCAAAAGCAAAGCCCTTGCTAAGGAAGCAAACCTTTATCGAGTATTTTTTTAGTGGAAGTGTGGCTGGTGTAGGATGTGCCCGTGCCTGCAGAACTGTAGGGCACTGCAGAGCAGCAAATTTAGAAAGTCTGAGATTCCTTTATAGCTAGATTAAATGATGGCCAGGGTCATCAGGAAATAGCAGTTGTAGAAAGGCGACTGTTTCTAATGGTGTTGGTCCTTCTTGCTGTTCACCTCTTCTGGAATTGTTGTGGTTACACTGTAGGATAAACAGATGAGTCTGTCTGGACTGTAATGGATGTGCAAGATACTACTGACACCAAATTTTTCTTTAAATTGCTAATTCATGTATGCAGTTGTACAAGAGACTGTTTGTTCCGTTCTTGGGTATCATAAAGCTTGTTCTGAATCCACCTTCAAAAATGTTCTTCTAGAATGACCTCATCTTTGTGCGCTCAGTGTGCTATTTCGAGTTTATTTTCATGTATTATGATGCTGCTGGGCAACTAATGTTTTTAACAGGCATCAGTCCTTATTTTCTTATGTCTTTTTTTCTGCTTGTAGCAGTACATGGTAACTCTGTCACCTTCTGGCCATCCCAATAATGAAAACAGAAGCTAAGGATGGAGAAGAGGAAAGCCTGCAGACAGCATTCAAGAAACTAAGAGTTGACACAGCTGGGTAAGTAACACCACAGGGAGGCACAGAGTTAACATATTACAAATGGGCTCCCATTTGGGAGGAAGGGAACACCCTTGCTGTTAAATTTGAAGGAATGAGGAAATTGCAAAAGGTTAGGCACTGAAAGCCTTCGTTCTATTTAAATGAACTGAAATAAATTCACTAGCTGTAGACTGCACTTCTCAAGGAATTGTGATTTGTTTGATTGTTGTTGGCTCCCAACAGGCTTGAAACAAACCTAACAGTAGTCAGCAGTTGACAGCATGCTTGAAATCAGTTTTGGCATGACTCTGGCTGCCAGAGGTTATGTCCGTAGCACTAGAACTGTACTGTTGAAGTTAGCGTATTGTCATGGCTCTGAAGGACCATCGTGAGAATAAGCTCCCATCTTTTCCCAGGAGAGAAGCGTTCCTTCCATGTCAGTAAAGGCATTAGATTTAGTGAGCGATTCCCACACAAACTATTTTCATTGCTGTCACATACAAATTTCCTATTTATAACCAAGATCACTAAATGGGAAAGAATTTTTTTGTGTTGTCTTGTTTTGTGGGAGATCCAACATGTGACACTTACCTTCCCTGTCCCAGGCAGCAGAACACAAGCAGCGTGCGTCTTCTGTTGGTGTTAATTATTTTTATCTGAAATGCAAAACAAAAGAAAGGCTTCAGTATAATGTTTTTTCTGCTGACAAGTGTGCACCATTCCATATTACTTGTCCAGTACTGTGTTTCAGGAAGTCAGTGATGCGATTATACCGGTAACTGAAATGAAAGTGTAGCTAAGGCAAAATGTAAATACCAAGGTGGTGACTAGAATTACCATAGAACTTAGATCGTGAGTAGATGGGCTTCTGAAGTTACCTTTCACTTAAGTAATTAAACTAGTTAGAAATAAATCGCCACGCAAATGCCTCTCATTTATTTAGTATCTCTAGTCCCACCCCCCAGTCAGGCATACTTAATGACTTTGGAGTTTTTACTGTTGGCCTTCAGTTTTCTGCTTTGTGTTTGTTGTCCTTTACATGGAAAATCGCAGATGTTCGACTAATAGTTTGGACTCTACTAAATACCAGTTAACCCTATACTAGATCAGTGGGGGGGACACCTATTTTCACTTTTCAGGGAATCCGGCCTGCTTGCAAACTAATTTAATACAGGATTTGGAAAATAATTTCCTTGCGAAGTCCAGTGTAATACGTCAAGTTGCAACTTGGAAAAATTGTTCTTGGGATTATTATAGCTCCTTGAAAATTGGAGTTTGGGATTAATTTATAACACTAGAAAAATTAGTAAGTCTTCTGAGGTCCCTGGCTTGAATAGAAGTTGAAGATCTGACACAAGTCTGTTGCTCAAGTGATTGAACTTGCAATAGTATGAAGAGTTTTAGCTTATGTTGTCCTAGACAGAGGCTTAAGTGTTCTTCAGTTAAACAAAATCTATTTATGTCCAAAGAACATTTATTTTTAGGAAAGAATAGCTTATTTGTCTCTGGAAAAAGAGACATGTTTCTTCAGTGATGGTGTTTTTCCCCTCCTCTCTCCCGGGAAAATGAAATTTAGCCATTGTGTGTGCTTCGTCATTGACGTGTGGAGTTCGGATTTGCAGTCTAGTTGCTGAATGGCATCAGGTTTGGTGAAAGAGTCTGTTATGCAAACTTTATCTTTCTGATTTGGGTCATCTTTGTGGGCAGGTGTTTTAAGACATATTGTAAATTATTTGGAGCAATCTTTTCTGGCAAAGACAACTCATAAGGGTTTTTTTGTATTTATCTAGGCTCCTAACTTTTTGTTCTGTCTTTCACAGATCTACTGCTTCTCTCTCTGTGGGTGAAGGGACAAGTCCAAGAGCACTAGTTAGAACAGTGGCAGATGAAGCCAAACCTAAGAATGTGTGTACTTCTAAGGAAGCCTGGCATGGGTAAGAGAAGCTTGGGATTATCAGACTTACTTCAACTGGTACTGCATTGAAAGGGAATTTTAAATATACAAGGTTTCTAGTGACTACACCCCTAAACAAGGGACCCAAGTTTTCTTTATTAAAGTACTATTTAAAATACTCTACACTGCCTTTTTCTGTTCATACATGACTACTATTCTTATTTACAATTACATGAAGTGAAAGGAAATGCTGTTTTTGAATTGGACCATCATGGATGTGTCTCTTTCAATCGGTGTTTGACATGGCAGATGCTGTCACTGTGCCTTGGGAACTAGATTAAAATAAAGAATTGGTTTCTGGAGTGTCTGTGCAGAACTTCAGGCTCATCCCCCACTGAAATAAAACCACCCTTTGCCCTTGATTCATTAGTTTTGTGCTGTCTTCTTGTGCTTTTTCCTTCTCTTAGAGGTTATTTTGTCATGTCTCACAGGCTTTACTCATCAACCTTAAAAGCACACACTTTTGGTTTCATTTCTCAGGTGCTCCTTTTATATTTTATACAGCTGCTTGACTAGAACAAAGTCAAATTCCAAGACAGCAGAATACACTGAGCAAACACTCTGAAGTTAAAGCTCTTGCATGCAATTTAAATGCAGTAGAGATTTTGCCCGATGTTATTTGTAATCCAGCAATAAGTCTTTTAGTGAATCTTCACTCCCTTTTCTATCTTTCCCTGGTAGGTCGATGAAAAAGCCTTCAAGAGGAGCTGTGAGAACCCAGCGTCGCAGGCGTTCCAAGTCTCCAATTCTTCATCCTCCAAAGTTTGTCCATTGCAGCACAAAATCACATTCTGCATGCAGCCAGCTAGTGCACACGAGCAAGACTGATGCCCAGGATGACAGTGGTGGGTTTGGGATGCCAGTCCCAAAGGAACCTTGTGCACACAAACGATGCAGTATTGCTCCTGAGGTTGGTCAGAAGGGAGCTGATGTTGAGTCTTTGGGAGCTTCTGTTACACAGTCGGCATCGGAGAACAGACAGGAGAACTCTCCAGCGGCCGTTTCTCTAGTATCCAAAGCGAGCCTAGAGACTACGGAGCTTTCGGACTTTCAATCGATGTCCAAGCTGAACACGAATAAGCCATGTGCATGTGCAGATAAAGCCTGTCAGTGTAAACGATGGCAAGATATGGAAGTATACAAATTCTCTGGCTTGCAGAACACTCTTCCGTTGGCACCTGATAGAAGAACAGTTTCTGAGGATCACTCCCAGTCCTTGCCATCAAGAACTCCCTCAAGTTCTCCACGCTCTTGCTCTGAGCAAGCCAGGGCCTTTGTGGATGACGTGACTATTGAAGACCTTTCAGGATACATGGAATATTACTTGTATATTCCAAAGAAAATGTCTCACATGGCAGAAATGATGTACACCTGACAGCAATGAGCACTAAAAACAGAAGGGTGGGTGGTTTAAGTCTGCCCTCTGTCACACTCATGTGAGATGCCATCCACTCCCTGCTCACTGTGCTTGCAATAAAAACACTTCTTTGCATCTTAGCCAGTGTTCATTATTTAAGCTGGACAAACAGTTTAGCTTAAGCATTATAGTTTAAGCTATAGTTTAGTTGGAATAGATAATGAAGTAAACGTGGTGAATGTGTTTAGAGTGTATCTGCCTATACTTAAGTGACCTAATGTTTGGGAAATTCTACTTCATTTTCAAAGCCCTCCCGTTTCGGTGTGTTGGAAGGTAAAAGTCTCAAGATTGCTCGGTGATCAGAGCTCTTGTGAGAAACTTGGTGTAATTCAGCTGCTTTGAAATCGCTTTGGTCTCAGGTTGTTAAGACTTACACTTGTGGGTTTGGACGCTTGTGCCTCTGATTTTATTTCATAAAGGAGTGACCATCTCCTGTCCTCTTCTTGGTACTGTTACCACTCTAGGCAAATTCAGGAGATTGCTGTCTTTTCTTGGGTTGGAGGCATTGTTATTTCTTTGTGCCTGAAGAGGCTTTATTGCTGATGGGCTGAACAGGCATCCTCCTGCCCTGTTTCTGATGATGTTAATGCAGTCAGATGCTCTTAGGTTAACATAACATTTGCCTGCAAGGCTGCCTGATGAGAAAAGAAACTTGGACGATCAAAGCAAGATTGTTTCAAGAGGTTATTCTGATCTCTGTAGTGTTGGTTAGTGGAAAATGTAAGGCAAGTGTAACTTTTTGTGGAGTGGCCAAACAGGCCTTAGAGACTTGTCTGCAGCAGGAGAAACACCCTGCTTTCTTCAGGGGGATTGCTGCTGCAGGTAACCAAAGAAAAAATGAGATGATGGACTCTCTTCGGTTTGGGGTTTACGAAGGCCGAAACAGCATTTTCTCACTTCAGTGTTCAGCCTGCTCTGTAACACCAAGTTATAACCCTTCAAGCGTTAAGACTCATAGACCTGAGTGAACAGTTATCAGCTGCACAGGAGGGAAATCTTGAGTGCTGTGTTTTCCTTCTCCTCCCCTTGAGTTGTTTTACTAAACCATTGCCACTTCAGATGCCTTCTCCAGCTTTGCATTCTTCCTGAAATTTACTTCTTCAGAAACAGCCAGGGTGCGATACTTAGTGCGCATCAGCACAATCTGTCTGTTACAAATAGGTGTGTAGCAAAGGAGCATCCCATCCAGTAACATGAGTTGTTGAGGGAGAGATGAGTGTGATAAGTTTGTCTTCACTATTTGCAGTACCCGAACTTTTCTGACCTGTAACGTCTGGAGGAGAAATGGAGACAAACATTTCCCTGTGAAATCCTTTGCTGTTACTATTGGGTTTTTTTTGTCATTTCTGTGGCAGTACCTAGTGTCATAGAACTGAATGGCCATGCAAATGTACCTGTTCTGCCAGTCCTGAAGAGTCACCTACTCCCTGCAGTGTGTACTTGGGTCCCACATGTCCCTTCCATTTCCCTGCTCTTACGTAGCTGTATTTCTGCCACGCGTGTTCTGAATTCGGGGCAACTGGTAACTATTTCCTGAAATACTGGGCTGCAAAGCACAAAATGACCTTACTTCTCAAATAATGATTCTTTACTGCTCCCAAATGCTTGCAGGTGGCAGTCATGGCACCATCATGGGGCTGAGAATGCCTTTCAAGATCGCCCTGCTTTTTACCATTTTTCTCATTAGTCACCGCAGACCTGTACCCGCAGGGTTTAGGATTGCAGCCTCAGGTGCTCAGTGCCCTGTTATAGAAAGCAGATTGCAATCCAGGAGGTAAGGTAAAAAAAATAGAGTAGAAAGATGTGAACTGGCGCAGACTGGGAAGGGAGGCAAGCAGTGCTGGGCCACTAGAGGTCAGCCCCAGGCCGGGTGCAGGCTGGCTGGGCGCCGCGGGCTCCTCCACGCCTCCTCAGCCTTCAGGGGAGAACGTCACTTTTTTTTCTGCCAAAATGAAGAAATAAGGCAGCTCTGGGGGGTGCCTTAGTGCACACGCAGTGTTAGTGCTTTCTGAAGTTTGAGTGTGTGGATATGGTAGACAGTAGTCAACGAAGCCTTTTTTAAATGCCAGCATCAGCGTAAGTTACTCACATTTAAAGTGTACTATCAGTTCACAACTGTGTAATTAGGAAGAGTTGCTAAGTAAATAATTACATGGTCCTGAACTTGGCATCTTCTGAGGGCAGTTACAACATCTTTGGGCTGGTAAGTCCTGGAACACCACGCAACAGAAGACCATGGGCAGCTGCCGCTGCTGCCTTAACACTTTCCCTCCTCTTACTACAAGACGCTTTAAGATACTTTGGTCTACCCAGAAACCACAAACCAAACCCCTCTGCTTTTGCAGTGAGAAAATACGAATTTCCAGCCCTTAATCATGCAGCAAGAAACTTTTAAGCATGACTGCATAGTTTAAAAGCTTGGATTTCAAGGGAAAAAAAATCCAACTTGAGCCAATTTCAAGATCTGTTTTTGAAGAAAAGCTTTGGAGGGCTGGTTCTGTCAAGCAGCACTTTGGAGTTGTGTCGGAGTCCCTTACTGAAGCGCCCCTTCCTGTGGCTAAATAAAAGTGAGGCCTTTTGTAATTAGCTTTATAGTGGGGCAGTTGGTCCTTCTCACCTGTGCCTGCAGGTGTTTTGTAGTTTATTCACTATATATACATACTTAGCCTTTCCTGTAGCTGTATGTTGTATGTCTTTTTTTTTTTTTTCTATGCCTCTTTTTCCTAGAAACACTGTATGGTGAGGCTGTCCAAGCGGTAAAGCTGTGTTACATGAGTCTGAAACTCGCCGTTGCCTGCGGCAGCTTTGCCTCAGGGCTTGGCGTGGGTCTTGGGAGCTCATCTCGGAGGGCAGAGCACAGCCCGCCGATGGCATGGCCTTGCCCCAGAGCTCTTGCAGCTCCTCAGCAGCCGGTGGTCAGCGAGGGGAAGGTCATCTGCTCACGGTCCTGCGGTGGCCACGTCCTTAGGAGATGGGGCAGGGGTGGCGGGAAGAAGGGAGGGCTTGGATTGACCTGGTACTGGTGTTCCGTTCCGTGTCCTCTCTCTGCCATCTGCATCTGATGACAGGGATTGTTACAGGCAAGGTGGGCTGTCGCTGCTCTGTGTGTGTGTGTGCAGCCGTACCTGGGAGGGTCTTGCCTTGCTTTTCCAAACAGGGAGACTAAATTACGCTGTCGGCTGTTAAACAGGAGATTTTGGTCGGTTTGTTGTTGTCTGGGAGAGGGGGAAGGCCTGACTGTGGATCCTCTTCGCTACCCTAAAGGAGCTCTGGAAACTGACTTCAAAAGCAGCGGGCAGGGCAGCAGGGTGTGGGCTGTGACCCGCGGGCGGCCCCGTGCTGTCACTGCCCGCC